TATTTCCCTACACCGCCTGTCTCCCTGGTGGGAGGTCGGTACGTGCCTGCTCATATAAGGCTAATGATGTAATAACCATGCCTCCAACTGATCCAATCAAGCTTCAGCTGGAACTATAACCTTTCAGCCACTTGGGACCGTTCTAGTTAAATAAAGACTATTGTAGCCATCTGCAGTAATTTTTATTTAGTGGAATAGCTCTGTGGGGTGGGGAGGTCAGACAGTTCAGACACAAAAAGGAGCTGGGGTGAATGCGGGTTGCAAAGCAGCTTGCAGGAATAACTGAAGGGATGGTGAAGAGCTCAGGCGGCTCTGTGTAATCAACTTATCTGTTAGGACAGCTGCTGATTTTGACTATATGATCTTCCCAATTAATGCAAAATTAGTACTTGAATATTTAATTTGGACTTTTGGATTTTACTCTAGGTTTAGCTGTAAAATTTTAGTTCTGTGTGAATTTTTTTTTCCACCCACAAGAGCACCGTATAACTGCAAATCTTTATGCAAATATTCGACTATGAAAATCTGTTTTTTCTTGTACTTTTTCACACAGCATGTAACAAATTAAAATATTAGATCTATTCGGTGCTTGTTCAAACATTTAAATTAATCTTACCTAACCATTCCAACACATTCACAAATATGAATGCAGGGATGAACTGTAATACTCACAACACCTATTTCCCTACACCACAGTCTGAATGGAACAGAGAGGCCTGCAATAATCACTCAGGGTTTCCATAATGGATTCCTCGTCTAGTAACTGACAACTGCCAATCTCCCCCTAGTGTAACTTGTTTTTCAGACACTCCTGCCTCATGTTTTAGCCACATTGGAAAAACAGGAAATATCTCCACAAACAGCGGAGTGCTGTGTATGTGCATATTTAATCCAATGTATCTGTTTAATGGCTCACAAACAACAGTAATGGCATTAATAATAAATTAAACATGCACACGTACTCACACACCAGCAACCCAAGCTTTGTTTGGTCTAGAAATTGCAGCTCCCATAAGCTGAGACACTACAGCACGCACGTGTGAGTGGGTTACTGACAGTTTTCCCTGAGATGTCTGCTCTTTACCTATTATTATTGTTGTTGCTATTATTTTTTTTAATTATCATGTCTGGTTGACATGATCGGCAACTCATTGATACCACTTGCAATCCCTCTCCTATCACCTTAAGTGTGCCGCAAAATCATGAATGGTGCACATGCATCATCAATCATATAATTAACACAAATATAAATGCGTGCGTGCACACACACACACACACACACACACACACTCGCACACTCATGCACAATCGGTTACCATGAGAACAACTATGCACAAAAAGAGATACACACCCACACACAGGAGGCAGATGATGGTGTGGAACATATATGATTTTTGATCCACTTCTTATCACGTTATTGTCATGCAGCAACACAACCAGACAACGGGCGTGTGAGCGCCGGTAATGAGCCTCTCGTCACACCACACAGCTACGTACACATCTCTGCACGATGAGAACAGCGCATTACGGCAAAAACACTGCCTGTTTCAGAGCATTTTGTTTCATATCATTAAGGACAAAATAGTACCGCTCATAGTACTGCTCTCACATTTGCTTTTTTCCCCCCACTCGTACAGTCGAGCGACATGTGGAGCAGAGTCACATGCAGACGCGTTGTGGCACAGGCAACTGTCATCTGTGTGATGCACTGAAGTCTGTAACAACACATTTGACAGTTGCATCATTTGACTCATAGTGGGGGAGAAGCTCTGAAGTAGAAGCCTTTAAAATGCACATTAGACCACACAATGACATGCACATTTGCACAGCGTGTGTGTGCATGTCTCATATTGAACTGGAGCTTTAAAAAGAATTTTTTAACTTAGTATTCATCTCAGTCTGGCTTCTTAATATATGAGCCAGGATGTCAAGGGTCCCCACAAGAGTAATCATATCTTTTCATGAGCTTGAGTCACACGATGAGACTCTAAAGTTGGTCTTTGTCTACATTTCAAAAGTTTGATAGCCTCCTCGTGGTGGTGCTCCGAAGAATTTGCTGAAACCAAACAACGAGTAATTCCAGATGGATAGATAACACAGGCTCCACCATCGGTCTGCCCACCTGAGTGTGGTTTGTTATCTAAAACTAGTCCATAGTCTATTACCATGGACAGATACACATACACCCCCAATCTATTATTGAACAAAAGGCTCACGCCTCCGCTCAGCCCTTCAGGGAGGAATCCATCCCTCCATCCCAGAATAATTTCACACATCAGTAGATACACAAAAGAGGGAGAGAGAGCGAGAGAGAGAGAGAGGAAAGAGAAGGAAGGGAAGGGAAGGAAGAGAGGAAAGGACAGAGAGCAGGAGGAACGGCCCGGGTAAAAAATGTATGGGGTCACAGCTCAGTGCGTGTGGGAGACCAAGGTGTCAGGGGGAGCCATGCGTGACAAAACAGAGATCCTTTTGCGCACAGGGAAACAAACGCACACACAGCCACACACACACACACACACACACTTGCAAAGTGATGCACATGCCAAGAAAAAGGTGAGACTAAGGACATATCAGATGAAGACATGTAAAGATTGAATCTAACTTAATAAGAGGCATTCTCGCTCAAACGAAGTCTTAATCTCATTATCTATCACGCTCGTTTTTTGTAGCCTCACACACACACACACACACACACACACACACACACACACACACACAAACTAAGGATAAGCTTGATTCTGCATGGCTTTTTTAATCATCAGGTAAAAACCCTTCAGCTATTGACGATGAGGACACCCAAAGCCAATTCTTGATTTGCTTATGTACAGACATATGGAAACAAAGAATTATATAGAAACACACACAAATGGATCT